GAGGATATCAGGGCTTCCATTCAGGTCCTTGTCCTAGCGTCTACGGCATTGTGCTCTTTCCTGTTTCCCAGAAATGATGTTAGCACTACTTATGTATCTATATATAAATGTGTTTACAGCGGACTTTGTATCTCTTCTGAGGATTGGTTATATTTTTTCCCCTAGGTGAACCTCATGAAGCCTCATGAATGCCACGCCACATTAATGATCGACGAAATGCAACTCACACCGGGGCTTGTTTACGATCATTCATCCCGGTGTGTTTTCAGCCCTCCTACACTTCCTCTAGCTGATGGTTCTCTGCCGAAAGATACCTTAGCTACCCATGGCTTAGTGTTCATGTTGGGTGGACTGTCAACCAGATGGAAGCAAACTACTGCGTATCATTGAACGGGCAATTCATTAAGTGCTCTAGCTATGAAGGAAGAGATCATTCACATCTTAACGGCCTGTGAGTCACTTGGGCTGAAAATTCATGCAGTGACTTCAGACTTGGCGGGTGGAAACCTGGCGCTTTGGAAGAGTTTCGGTATTCTCATGGGAAGACAGCAGGCCACACATGAGTTGCGTTCACCCCTGTGGGTCTGAATGAAAACTGTGGTTTTTTGCTGATGTGCCACACTTGCTCAAGAGTTTGTTGAAAAATCACTTGACTAGAGCTCAGCTAATTGATCTTCCTGATAATGTAGTCTAGAAAAATGACTTATTGAAAAACGTTGTTAATCTCGAATTTATAAAAATTCTTGTCCAACGTGACGCTAAATCTGAGCTGAAACTAGCCCCTCACCTAAATTCGGCCTGTTTAGACCCTAGTCACCATGACAAAATGAAAGTCAGCACGGCCTACAGTTTATTTCACAACGACACATCAGCTGGTTTGCACCTTTTGGTAGAGATGGATCATATCAAAGAATGCGCTTTCGAAGGCTTAATTTGTTGCAGTGATTTTTCGCTCATTTCACTTGCTAACATCTAGGACTACCAAGCTCGCCTTTAGCAGCGCAGTTGAAGGAGCCTATGAAGACAGCGTATCATTTCTGAATGAGACAGTGGAGCTGTTTTCTAAAATTTCTGTTGGTGCACAGACAAAATCGGTATGGAAGCCTGTTCAAACAGGCATGATTTTGTCGACACTCTCTGCTCTCGAACTGCAAGAGATGCTACTCAATAAATACAAGTTCCAGGAGTAGGTTTAGTCAAGATAGACTTGAGAACTTGTTTTCAACTTTGCAAGCAAAAAACCGCGTTCCACGCCTCTATGAATTCTAGTGTAGACTTCAGAGCGCAGCACAATTTCTAAAGCCGCTTACGCACAGCAGTTACTCAGACGACGAAGGCTTTTTGCTCGTAAGCTTGAATGCGGGAAAGGAACAGTGGAGAACCCACTGCAACTGTTCCTTCTGACATTCTAGACTTGAGCACAGAAGGAGAGGAGTCTCTAGTCTACCTAGCAGGATACGTTGTATCGAAAATAACAAAGAGACTTAACTGCGAACACTGCAAGGCTTCTCTAGCCTCTAGTGCTGCTAGTTGCAGGCTAATTCAGATGAAGAACTTTTCTACGTCACACCTGTTGCTCACTAGCCATTACGCAGGTGTGATCGAAGTTACAAAAGTTGCAGAGAACGTTTTCTGTGCAAGCAAAAAGGCACTGCCATCCAACCAAGTGAGATTATTCGAAGTTGAAGCGATGATACTTCAGAGTGTTCGCGTGCAAACATTTAACCCTTCTTGCCATACCATATTGCCAGAAGTCGTTCGTGTGTTCTTGAGAGTACAAATGCAGATTTAAGTCCGTACAGACGCTTCTCAGATCGCACTTAACACAGCACAGAGTAAGTGCCGAAGTAAGAGTATTCGTATGCGTGCCGCAGTATCCAGTCTATGATAGACTACTTGAATCCTTTCTAATGATGCTGATGCGCATGGTTGAAAGGCAGCGTGTTTCATTAACCGAGGGCTCTGAAAGTCTCTTTTACAGCTACATTTCACCAAGCATTTTTCATTTCACTTTGTTAATGTCATCTTTTGTTCCTCTGTATGTTTCCCGAACAAAGCGTCAGGAGGCACGTCAAATAAAAACAGCACCTGAGCAGTCTGAATTATGTTATGGCTGCTATGCAATCGATTGCCCATGACCCTAACGATTAATGTGAATTTCTTTCGTCAGCGCTGAATATTTTCTACAAGTACGTCAACAAACTAGCAAAATATTAAAATTTTGCAGCTCTCTCAATCTGCCGGTGCTGTCAGCGTTTACTGGTCCTACTAGCTGTTTTACATAACAATTGCAAGAGAAATGGCACTTGGGTAAATCAGTAAGACATCAGCTTAAAAAAATAAACGATAAAATCCATAAATGAGGATCACAAAGTTATAAGCAGATATTCAAACGTTTGCTATTATATCTATACGCATCTTTTTAAACCAATGATTACTGCACCGCCGCGATATCACAACGCTAGTGCTCTTGTCACATCAAGTGTCATGAAAGGAAAGAGTCAGAGAAATGCGAGAGAAAGACGCTGCTGCCGACGCCGCCAACACAGAAATTTCTACGAACCGAGGTCTTTAAAGCAGTCTAGTTAAAAAAAAAAAAACTTCACACTCTAACTAAGCTGTGCTAAAGCAATACCATTTTAGCAGGCGTTCCTGCGGCCGCCTTCCAAGGCATACACTGTAATAAAAACTCGAGTATTTGGGGTGTTTTTTTGCCACACAACTGCAATCGACGTCTCTACTTCGCATGCTTTCTTCGCGTTACTACCACGGTTCCGGCACTTCGCGGCCATCAACGTTGCGTGCGTTATCAGCAAGACATGACATTCTTGATAGTAAAGTGGCGCGGGCCGGTTCATAGGGTTGGCGCCGCACGGTGGGAGAGAATACAGATAAGGTTTGGACACTTGGGAGAGGAAGGTTGGACACATTAAAGAGAATATGGAGGAGAGTATAGCTACTTTCTCTATTAAGGGACATTACTGACACCATGTACGATGCACCACCATGTACGATGCGACATGCAGACTGACGCTAGGCAAGTCTACATCAGTGACTTGAAGGCAGGTTGACCAAACGAATCGCCCTAGCTTTATTCGACCACCCTATGGATGGATGGATGGATGGATTGATGTGGCTGTACTTTTTAGATCGGGCGGCGGCTAACGCCACCTTGTCGTAATACTTAGTGAACCACCAACTAAATTTATTTTTTTTCCTTTCAATAGTGAAGTATAGGACTGGTACATTGCAGTGAATGGTTAAATTTTCACTCTTGCCTTGACTTTAGCCCCCAATCAGATAACCTCCTTCTAGTTAATTCTACCCACTTAAAGTCTGTTTTGCCCTCCCTGTCCCTAAACCGGTGATTTAAAAAACTGCGCCATCATCCTGAGCTATAGGTTGAAGCCCTTTACAGAACATTATGAAGTGTTTGGCAGTTTCTTCTTCCTCTCCACACACATTGCATACTGTGTCGACCCCTTTGTATTTGACCCGATATGTTTTGGTTTGCAATACTCCCGTCCTGGACTCAAACAGTAGAGAACTACCCCTGAGTATTATCATAGATCCTTTCCATGGCAATTTCCTGCTTAAAAGTTCGATAGATCTCTAGTGCAGACTTCTTAATCATGCCAATTCTCCACATGTCAGTCTCCGTTTCCTTCACTGTCTTCTTAACCGATAATTCTTTTTGGTTGGCCACCTGCTGTTTTCAAAGTATGTACAGTCAATTTCCTGGTTCGATTCCTCCATTTTGTACCGACATTCTTCATGTACAAGTAGCTGAAAACCTTCCTAGCCCAACGCTCCTCCTCCATTCCTCTCAATCGCTTCTCAAATTTTATCTTGCTGCTAGCTTCCCTGTCCTCAAATGATGTCCATCCCATATCACTTTGTACTCCCCAATTTGGTGTATTCCCGTGAGCTCCTAAAGCAAGCCTATCTATTCCCCGTTGCTTAATTTCTAATCTTGCTTGAACTGCTGATCTCATGCACAAGACCGCATTGCCGAACGTCAGCCCAGGAACTATAACCCCTTTCCATATTCCTCTCACAACATCACACCTATTGTAGTTCCACAGTTCCCTATTTTTCATCACTGCTGCATTCCTGTTACTTTTAGTCGTCACGTATATTTCGTGTTCCCTTAGGTACTCGGTCCCTATTGCTTATTCATACGCCCAGACATTTGTATTTATCTTATCTCTAGCGTGACCTCCTGTATTCTAAGCTCACTACCTTCATTATCATTAACATCATGACTGCTGATTTTTCCTTACTGAATCTAAAATCTAATCTATCTCCCTCATTACCACAGATGTCCATCAATCTCAGCAAATCTTCCTTGTTGACGGCCATTAGCACTATATTGTCGGCCATTAGCATAGAGGGCAAGGCATGGCGCCCTCTATAGCGCACGGCGCCCTCTACAATGACAGCACGATATTTCGTTCCTACAACAACCGCGCAACCGATCGTTTTCAAAATACGCCAAGGAAATGCCGCCCGCGCGTCCAGCCGTTAACAAAACATGCTTGACAGGTCGAAGTGGCAACGCCCGCGGCGAATTCGTGCGCAATGAAGCGTTCCAAAGAGAGCGGCAAGCTCATAGGTTCATTGAAGGTAACTCAACGCTTTTCCCTTAATGCACACAGTCCAGTGAAAAGAAAGAAATTAATGAAGCTTGAATATGGCAAGAGCCTACCGTTGCAAGTAAACAGCTGCAAGAGAGCAGCTTCAAAAAAAATTAGAAGCGGTGCCGATGTTGAGCGAAACGGAGCGTGTTTGAGGCTTAGATGAGGGTGTGACCGGATAACGAACAGGCGTCGGTTCTGCATGCCGAAAAGCAGCGTCACTTTCATTAATTGTAGAAAGCAATACAACATTCATGGCAAGATTCTTGCCAAGGAGTAGCGATGACTGATCGAAGGTCATGAATCTGGGCATGAATGGAAACAAAGGGGAAAAAACTGGAAAAAAAAGAAGAACGTGCTCACCTGATGCTAAGCTACTCACAACCGTCGCTACAGTTACAAGTAGCCACCACACCGAAGCCATCGTGGAAAAGTGCTCGACTATACAACGCACTAAAATGACGTGCCTAATAATATCACGTAAGTGTCGTGAAAGCAATCGTCAAAGCTACGGTATGAGACTCCACACGTTAAAACGGCTTGTTGCCACCGCATTCCACAGTCACTCGAACCCTCATGGAGGAAGGAATAAACTGGCGAACCCCCAGCCACTTCCTCCGTGCCCCCAACACAGCCGCCAAGAAAGGAGAGAGACGTGATTGCGATTCCTCTGCATGGAGGAAAGAAGACTGAGGAGAACACGGAGGAAGTGCGGAGAGGCTCGCGCTATCCAAGCGGCAGAAAAAAAAGTGTGACGGAAGTCACGTGCTTTTTTGCACTGGTTGCTAGGCAATGTGGGCACGCCGTCGATGCTCTGTCAGGGTTGCAAGTTTACAAAGACGAGCGGATAGAGCCCCCCACAATGCACCGCGGCCCGACGCTCTTGAGGCCATGACCTACTACACTCCTGACCTGCCCAGAGAGCACCTCTTCCAGCGCCCACGTTCTAGTTCATACCTTCTGCCGCTAGGGCCGTCACCTACGAGCGGCGTGGCGCTAGGCAGCACCTGTTCGCTGACGTCACCTTCACTCTTTGTAGTCAAATTTTAACCAACAAAGCACTCGTAGTGCGAATTTATGATCCACAATTTAGAAATATCCAGAAATAATAATACTAAAAGACATTCAGAATTTTTTTTGCAATAAAATGCACGCGACAACGCATAGGCTGTCCAAAATCATGTAAATCCACGGGTTTCCACGTTTGTCAACCAGTGTGCTATAAATTCTTAAGCGCACTGAACAGCTTACTTGACCAGCAATGTATGGGAAGAAATAGTCACATATATGCCGACAGTTCACCACAGAAAGCAGGCATTCTTATACCAGCGCCTACAAAACAACCGTAAAGAAGCAGACGAACAGGTTATAGGTAGCGCCACCTACGGCGAGCGATTGAACGAGAGCGGGGACACGCGCTCCCATAGGAACCCCGCTATCTGAACAGGTCAGGAGTGTAGTAGGTCATGCTTGAGGCTATGCATTTCCGCTGGCCTAACTGTGTCATCGCGCTGTAGCTCCCCGCACTTTCGCATAGCGTTGCCGTGAGGCTGCTGCACCAGCGGGGTAGGTGTTCTGTGGCCTTGCTCGCAAAGGAAAGCCCTGCCAAGGCTTTTGGACCTGCGCCGAATTGAGTTGGAGGCGAAACGGCAAGGTTCTATTTGGCGTTGCATAAGTGGTTGCCAGACTGGAAGGGTGGTTGTTGCCAGACTGCTGCTAAATTTGGCAGAAAAGTTTTTTTCTGTAGTTGTGGCTTTTCCGCAAGAGTTTGGTGCTATCCGCGGTGCACTTCTTGGCTGAAAACTTTTCTCCTGTAATTGTGGCTTCTCTGTAAGAGTTTGGTGCTATCCGCGGTGAATTTTGCGAGTGCATGAGCGACGCTGGCCGTTTTAATTAACGGAATATACCGCGCCTAGCAGAAGTCGAGCGCGGCGCTGCCGTGCAATTAAGAGGCCGTTTTAATTCCGTTTTAATTAACGGAATGGACCGAGCCTAGCAGAGGTCGAGCGCGGCGCTGCTGCGCAATTAAAAGGCCGTTTTAATTCCGTTTTAATTAACGGAATGAACCGCGCATTACAGAATTCGTTTTGTTTATACGGAATATACCGCGCCTAGCAGAAGTCGAGCGCGGTGCTGCCGTGCAATTAAGAGGCCGTTTCAATTCCGTTTTAATTAACGGAATGAACCGAGCCTAGCAGAAGTCGAGCAGCGTGCAATTAAGAGGCCGTTTCAATTCCGCTTTAATTAACGGAATATACCGCGCCTAGCAGAAGTCGAGCGCGGCGCTGCCGTGCAATTAAGAGGCCGTTTCAATTCCGCTTTAATTAACGGAATATACCGCGCCTAGCAGAAGTCGAGCGCGGCGCTGCCGTGCAATTAAGAGGCCGTTTTAATTAACGGAATGAACCTCCCATTACAGAAGTCGAGGCGCGTTCTCTTGCTGTGTGCGCAGCTGTGCGATTAAGATATCGCGTCTCAGTATTAGGGATTACGGGGAAAACTGATTAGAGTCGCAGGAGGGGATGCGCTGCCCCCCTTCCCCCTTACTTTTCTTTTTTTCTCTCTCTCAGCTGATCGTGTCGCGTCGACCGCGCGCTACGATGGGGGACGCTACGCTTCCCCTAGCTGTGTCAGCACAAGACACATCGTTCGGACTCGTATATACATGTGATGAATAAGCGTTCCAAGGCTGGTTAATCGGAGTACGTCGGATATGCTACAGCTATGTACGCCTGGAAGGCTTCTTTATCGAAGCAGATGGAGTGAACTAAGCGCGACTTGCGCGTACCTGTAAATGGGACCCAGCCGACGAGCCGCCGTCGCTTACAGGGCCCCACCCACAATAAGCACAAATTGTTTCTGAGCTCAAGAGCGCAGTATAAAACAATAGGGTGGGTACATAAGAATAAAATGGCATAATATGTCTCACTACACGCTCATCACTCACGATATGGCAGGGATCCCTAAACAGGATATCGGCGAGCGATCACCTCCATTAATCGAAGGAAAAGGTCTTTCACGTTGAGACGTGCAACGACCAAGTACGTCTCGAGAGGCAAAAAAAAAAAAAAAAAAAAAAAGAGGAGCCTTGCTCCTGTCTACCCAGCATTGCGAGTGTCCCGCGGAGCTGGGACAGCTAGCTGTTTCCTGCAACCATTGTACTTGAAGTGTGGGTCTGCTTGCCTTTTTTTTTTTTTTTTTTGCCGGGGCGATTGTACGTGACGACTTACTGCATCCAAGGTCACCATAATTAAGCCGAGGTCCTTGCGAATTCCCCATCACTCGGATGTTGGCGGCCGCTTCTGTGCTGTTCCCGACTGTCTGCAGGTCGAACTCCCGCTCGAAGCGATGGCGTCTTCGACAGTCCAATAACGCGACAGCTCCTGAAACGGTGACAATGTACTTTGCACAACTAACGTTACGACATTTCATAGGGATCACGATCCTAAAGCTTAGGGATTGCGCCGAGATAGGGAGCACCAAATAAGGAAATTTAAGAGGTTTACGTGAGCAAGTTTGGCCATGTGTCGACGCCCAATGCACCGAGGTGGAGTACGTGCCCTAGGTGGTGTACTGTTTACGTGATACGTTGGTCACATCACGTAGCATCACGTAACGTCGTTCGCACTCCCGCTCAAGTCACCGTTGCTGTGGAGAAGGAGGGGCACTGAAGTGGAGTACGTGACCTAGGTGTTGTACGATTCGAGGCGTCTTCGCCTATCCCGCATTTTCACACATATGCTCGCGTCGCGTCGGCGCCGTGACCCACCCCCTCTTCCTCCGCAGACGCTCGCGTCGCTTCGGGTCGGCGCCATGTCAACCAACGTTCGAGGTACAAAAAGGCTTTTTTATGTTTTTTTATTCCAGGCGTCTTTGCCCTCCCCCCCTCTTTCTCCGCAGACACTCGCGTCGCGTCGGGTCGGCGCCATGTCAGCCAACGTTCGAGGTCCGAAAAGGCTTTTTTATGTTTTTTTTGTTCCAGGCGTCTTTGCCCGCCCCGTCTTTCTCCGCAGGTGCTCGCGTGGCGTTAGGGCCGTGGCCCATCCACTCTTTCTCCCCAGATGCTCGCGCCACGTCGGCGCCGTGACCCACCCCCTCTTTCCCCGCTGATGCTGCATCACGTAGGCGCCCTGTCAAGGTTAGAGCGCTCTATCCCCCTTTCACCTCATGACCCTTATAAAATGCCGTAACGTTAGCCATGCAAGTTACACTGTTACCAAATCAGGAAGCGTCTCGTCATGGCCACGCCACGGATAGACCCCAGCATTGTCGAAATCGCCGACATCATAAGGTACCCTGCCGCGGAAGAGGTCTTCCTTCGTGAAATCGGACTGTCGCCTGCGCCATCGCTTCGACCGGCAGTTCGACCTCAGGCAGCCGGAACAACAACGGGGCGGCCACCGACGTCCGAGTACTGGGGTATTTGCAAGGATCTCTGCTTTAATCCAGGTGAGCCAGGATGCGGTGGAGAAGTCGTGACGTACAATCGCCCGGGAAAGAAAGGAAGCAGACCCACATTCAGGTGCAATCGTTGCAGGAAACAGCTCTCCCAGCTCCGCGGGACGCAGGCTCTGCAGGGTAGGCAGGGCCAAGGTTCCTTTTTTGCCTGTCAAGACGTACTTGGTCGTCCTAACGTAAAACTCTCTCGACGCGAAATAATATGGCTCACGTACGCCATGGTGAAAGGGTTCTCGTCAAGGAACACGAGAGAGCTTACAGAGAAGGAGTTTAAATTGAGCAACACCACGCGGACCGACTGGAGAAATTATATAAGAGAAGTAGCACTCGAAGAGCTGCGCGCACAGCCGGCGATGGGTGGAGTGGGCGAGGTCGTCCAAATCGACGAATGTTTGTTGAGGGGTCGGCGCAAGGCGAATCGAGGTCGCCTGCTGACTGGCGACAGTGTTCCTCCAAGGCGCCGCAACAATTACGGTGGCGTTTCGAACAAGGGCCCGTAGATTTTCGGCATGCTGCACGTGTCCACGAAGGAGTTGAGGCTGTTTCAAGTGGATAAAAGGGATGCTGCCACCCTTGGTTCACTGATAGCCAAACACATTCTTCCCGGGACGACGGTGTACAGCGACGAGTGGGCCGCGTACCAGTGCATACCCACACTTGTGGATGCCAACGGAACACCACTAAACTTGGACTGGCACACCGTGAACCACAGTGTCAACTTCGTTGATCCTACGACAGGCGCCAACACGCAAAGGATCGAAAGTGAATGGCAAAAGGCCAAGCGCCGTCTCGTGCGCAACAGCAACAAGACGACTACCTCACTTATGCCGGCTCACCTCGCCTGGCTTTGGTGGAAATCAATTAACGCACGTCCCAACGTGAAAGACCCTTTTCTTCGATTAATGGAGGTAATTGCTCGCCGGTATCCGGTTTAATTATAATGAGTGCGTTGTGAGACATATTGTCATTTTATTCTTATGTTTATGTTTTAATATTATCTCATTTTATTATTATGTTTTCATTATATTGTATTATTATTATTGTCACTATTATGTTTATTATGTCATTTTATTCTTATGTTTTCATTATGTTGCATTATTATTGTCATTATTATGTTTATTATGTCATTTTATTCTTATGTTTTATTATTATGTCATTTTCTTCTTACGTTTTCATTATGTTGTATTATTATTATTGTCATTATTATGTTTATTATGTCATTTTATTCTTCTTGTATACTAAA